GAAAATAATTATCATAATTTCGTAATAGTCCAAACAACACTTTGTTATAATATTAATTCATGTTTGGTAGTATCTACGAGAATATAAAAGAAATCAAATCTCGACACTTGCGAAATTTCTATTTGCAAAAAAACAAAAGGATTTTCATTATGCATGTGTTGTGTATATATTCATTTCTTAGAACGAAATAAAGAATCTCTAAAACTATTAATCAGTGAACGAAGACACAAAAGATTATGCCAACAATTAAAAAAAAAATACTACTACATGGATTAGTGCTGCATCGGATCGTGCATGCGAGCAGAAAATTAAATGTTTTCATCCCAAGATGTTTCTTTATCAATTAATTACTTGAAACTCTTTTCCACTTATATCGTTTTGTATCACACTAGTATTTTAAGTGCTGCTTGAAACAAATATTAGAAGTACTATCTAAATCAAATATACGAAGCTAACAAAATAGCTTACAAAATACCGTTGTTAGTCATTAAAATAAAATAAAAATTTGGAAGATTATCAATTTAGAAACAATTACAATATTTGCAAGGCAGAAACTTTGAAATAACTATACTACAAAAGAGTAGAGGGACCTCGATCTTTGAGGTGACACATTACCAACACTGAGACAGTCTCCCACCAATATTTCATCATTATGAGTTTTCACTTCTAATGTCGTATATAAGAATTATGATATAGTTTAATTTGATATAACCTAGTTATTCAATTTAAATTTATAATCACTACGATTAGCATTATAATAGCATTTAATTAGTATGCTATATCTACAATTTTCTTACAAATTATCTATCATCCATGGAGAGTATTTTGTTATGGTAAAGTATAAAGCCTATTAACATGTTGATAAATAAACATATTAATTGTAGATCTAACATTAGTTAATCGATGATAAAGAGATCAACTAGAGACTAGTATGACATAAAAAGTAGATTAACAAAAACAAAATTAAAAGATTCATTCCCTGTCATGAAAGGAACAAAAGTTTCTAACAAACTCCAAAACAAACACAAAAAAAAAGAGGAAGAAATGAAAAGTAAAAACTGTCATCATAATTAAGATTAGCAAAATTTTATCCAAGAAGATAACCCTAATTAAGAAATGATAAATTATTGGAAACAAAAGGATGATGAATCAAATAAGCTGTCTGAAATCTGGGCCAATGTTATGGTGGATCAAGTAATCATCACCGTCCGATGAAACGTCGAAAATCATTGGAGTATCC